GGGCCCGGGCTGGGGATTCGAACCCGCCACCTTAGGTGTATGTGGCTGACGCCTTAGCCACTTGAGCCACAGGTGCAAAGCCAAAAATAAATGTTCTTAAAAGCAACTGCTAGCTAGAAGTGGTGGCTCAAGCCTGTAATCCTAGCAGTTTGGGAGGCTAAGGTAAGTGGATCGATTGAGCTCAGGAGCTCTAGACTAACCTGAGCAAGAGCAAGAGCCTGTCTCTACTAAAAATAGAAAAGCTAGTGGGACAGGTGGTGGGCTGGAGACCTGTAGTCCCAACTACTCAGGAGGCTGAGACAACAGAATCTCTTGAGCCCAATAGTGTGAGATGAGTTCACTCTCTGCCCAGAGCAACAGAGTAAAACTCTGTTTCAAAAAAAAAAGAAAGAAAGAAAGCAAGCAACTACTTTGAGCAAACCCAGTTGATTAAATTAAAAACCCTCCTTCTGTTGCTTAGGAAACCTTCCTGTCAGGGTGGGTTTTCCCACAAGTCTCATATACACAAGGTTTCAAAACAACCATTTCTGCATTAAGATATAAGTCTTTCATACATATTCTATTTATTGTCTCTTTTATGCCCGTGTTTCGGTTTCACAAGTCTTGGCAACTGTCAATTCTTTTCACAAAGTATTTTTGTGCTTAAGGGTATGTTTTTCTCTGCCTGGGCCTTCAGTGCAGATGGAACACCTCTTTATGCTTTCCCCCATTTATCTGCGAAAAAAGGGAGCAATTGAAAATTTGGAGTTGACCAACAGAAAATAATTCTATATCAAAAACCCCTTTAATAACCAATGGTTGGCAAGTTATTAAGAGCATGGACTTTGAAGCCAAGCTACATTTTCTCGGTTTGAGTCTAAGATTCTTCATTTCCTAGGTGTGGGACCTTGGGCAAATTACTTTTCTTTTCTTTTCTTTCTTTCTTTTTTTTTTTTTTTTTTTTTTGAGACAGACTCTCAGGATGTTGCCCTGGGTAGAGTGCCGTGACGTCACAGCTCATAGCAACCTCAAACTCTTGGCTTAAGCCAGTGGTTCTCAACCCTCTTACTGCTGCAGCCCTTTAATACAGTTCCTGTGGGTCGTGAATTGCTGTCTTAAGCGATTCTCTTGCCTCAGCCTCCCAAGTAGCTGGGACTACAGGCGCCCACCACAACTCCCGACTATTTTTTTGTTGTAGTTGTCATTGTCATTTAGCAGGCTCAGGCCGGGTTCGAACCCACCAGCCCCGGTGTATGTGGCCGGCGCCCTAACCACTGAACTACGGGCACCAAGCCTATTTTTCTTTTTGTACCTGTTTCCTACATCCTGTTCCTGTTTCCTACATTATGAATTCATTTGTAAGGCCCTTCGAACAGTGCCTGGTACACAGTAATGCTCCGTTTGCTAGGTAAATTTGGCTTACCATTAGACCCCTAGGTCTAATCTGCCTCATTCATCCTCTATCCCCTAGATAGGTCTATGGGTTGGTTGCTGGGAAAGTCTGTTTGCTTTGTTAGTAGCAGTAGTGGTTGTCTTTTCACTTGCCAATTGCATGGACCAGTATTTATACAGAAGTTTGGGCTCTGTCTCAGATTGGCAAAGTCAGAGAAAAACATCTGCCGTTTTTATGTGCTGTTACCACGAGGTACTAAAAAAATCTCTTAAAGTAAATGTTAAGGAAGTCGGGATGGAAAGAGGAGGTAAGGATACTTCTTTCAAGGAAACTGTCTCCAGTTGGAAATGAATCTGAAGTCTGCTCCTTTGTGGAAACCTGAAGCCAGGGATCCCCAGGGTCCTTAGTTGGCCCAGCAATAGTATGGAACTTATAAAATACAAAAAGCCTCCATCATTCCAGGGTCTTCTAGTTCAGCGTCCTGCCCATTTTTCTCTTCATTGGGAAGGTGCTGGCAGCCTTTTAAGTTTCTTTTAAGTTTGGGGCATCTGAAACCCGGCTAAAGGGAGATGTGGGGTACTCATTTGGAGGAGGATACCCTCAATCAGAGGAACGCAGTTCGCAGGTGTAGTCCAGGGCGCGCTCTTTCCCCGCCCCTACCTTTTTATGCACTCCCTTTCACGTTGCTGTCCCGGGGACCGGAGTTGAGGACAACTGGACTGCCATTGCGCCTGCGCAGGGAGCCAAAGGCTAAAGCCCTCAGGGGGGGCCTGGCCCAAAGGGCTGAATTGTCAGTGCGCCTGCGCGGGAGGCCGATAGGTTGGCAATGCTGAGCAGACTCACCGCCCGGGTCGGGCTCTCAGTGCGCCTGCGCGCGGGCTGGGCGCCGCGGTTCTTAAGCGTGCAGTGCCGGACTCCAGGTGCAGTCATGCAGGGAGCCGACTCCGAGCAGCCGGCTAAGCGGCCGAGACAGGATGGCAGCCCAAGGACCCCACCAAACACTCGTTCCGCAGGGGCAGACAGGTCACCTGGCCCGGAACTCCACCCCGACCACAAGACCTGGGGCCCGGAGCAGGTGTGCTCTTTTCTAAAACGCAATGGATTCACAGAGCCGGGACTGCTGAAAAACTTTCGAGGTAGAGGGGCTGAGGGGCGCGGGACAGCGACAAGGGGCGGGGGCCAGCCGGTCTTGAGGAGAGGCTTCCCTCGGGTAGAGGGCTACGCCAGACGACCTGAAGTCGAGAAGGGAGACCTGGCGCGGGAGGCTCGCAGAAGGGTGGACCTGCGGTGGGGGCACCGCGGAGGGAAGCCCTGAGGCGAAGAGCCCTCCTGAGGGGGCCCCAACGAGGGAGGCGCCCAGAGAGCTGTCGGCTCTCCCTGAGGGGGGGAAGGGGAAATGGGGGTGTGTGGGGTGGGGAAATCCCTGGGAACAGAGCAGGCTCTGGGAACCTGGGAGGGGCTGGTGTAGATTTGGTTCTCAGGTGGGGTTTTTTCAGGAATTTGTCACCCCAGCGCCTGGGTTCCTTTTTTTAGCTGGAAGAATTTTTTCCCCCAGATTTTGGTCAGATTTGCTGCCATTAAGACTCACCAGGCTCGGAAGACCCCTCTGTGCTAACCACAGCTCCTTGAACACTTGCCACATGAAAGGATATTCTGGTGCTTTTAGGTTTCGATTTCCTTCCTGGGGAAGGAACTTGGTTCGTCTCTGAATTCCCACTGCCTCCCATAGCATCTCAGCACTTAAGAAGTGTGGGCTAACTGTACTTGCAAAGCTCAATAATGGTCATGTCTTGCTCTTTAAAAGCAGTTGCCCTTCCTAAGTTTGAACGCAGGTTGTTCACTTGACCACTGAATCCCCGGCATCCTATATGGCCACATTGCCCAGGGAAAGGCCGAGGTTGAGTTTTAAACGAGTTTACTGGTTCATGTCCACTTGAAGTCTACTCAACCTTTTGTGGTGAGTGTGAGATTTAGCCCTCCCTCTTGTCCTTTTGTTACTGGAAGCTGGACACTTGTCCACCAGCCTACATCAGAGAGAACTAGGACAAGTGGTTTTAGGAGAAGGAAAGGGAGGTTTATTGCAAGCAAATGAGAGAATGGTAGACTCCTCTCTTCAGGTACCATTTTCCTATCCATAAGCAGAAATACACAGTTTTATCATTATCATTATTTTTTTTTGAGGCAGAGTCTTACTGTGTTGCCCTTGGTAGAGTGCTGTGGCATCACAGCTCACAGCAACCTCAAACTCTTGGGCATAAGAGATTCTTTTGCCTCAGCCTCCCAAGGAGCTGGGACTACTGTGCAATGGACACCGAGCCTATTCTTCTTCTTTTTTGAGATGACTCTGTTGCCCAGGCTAGAGTACAGTGGTGTCATTATAGCTCATAGCAACCTCAAACTCATGGGTTCAAGTGATCCCCCTGCTTCAGCCTCCCGGGTAGCTGGGACTACACGTGCCTGCCACAATGCCCACCAAGTTTTTCTATATTTATTTTTATTTATTTATTTTATTTATTTTTTTGAGACAGAGTCTCACTTTGTTGCCCTTGGTAGAGTGTGGTGGCGTCCTAGCCTCATAGCAACCTCAAACTCTTGGGCTCAAGTGATTCTCTTGCCTCAGCCTCCCAAGTAGCTGGGACTACTGTCACAACGCCTGGCTATCTTTTGGTTGTAGTTGTTATTTAGCAGGCCCCGGCTGGGCTCAAACCTGCCAGCCTTGGTGTATGTGGCTGGGGCCTTATTCACTGAGCCACGCAGGCACCAAGCCAGACTGGAGGTGGTTTTAAAAAGAAAGCACATTAAAACATTTTTCTCTTTTTCAGGTCCTTCCCTCTGAAGTGTTTAATAGGAAAGTGATTATTTGGTGGTTGTGATTTGCAAATGCAGTAAGAGCCTGCATTTGTGGGGTGGAGCCCTGTTTGCCTGGGTTGAGGCCGGGGTAGGAGGAGCTTTAGTGGTTCATGACCTAAAGATAGCTTGAATGGGTATTGGGAGATGGTACTTCTCTTTTTTCCTTTCTTCCTTTTGTTTTCCACCGCAATAATAAATTTTTTTTTCTTTAGCTAGTAACAGGTGGGGTGAGGTAGTTCTACATTTTATATCCAAAATGTGATTGGCTATGTTGTTGGCTCTATATTTTAGTGGTATTCTGTAGATTAACTCATCAGCCTCCAGAATAATATGTGTTCTCTTGAACTCTATGTGTTTTCTTTTCTGTTTTTTTTTTTTTTTTGAGACAGAGCCTCAAGCTGTCCCCCTGGGCAGAGTGCC